GAAGGAGAGAGAAAATGAGAAACATGAAATTCGCTCAAGAGTACAAGATATTATGGAAAGAAGGAGAAGAAAAACCTCATTATTTGAAAGATGAAGGAGTAAAGAGAAAAAACCACCTACAATTAACTGCAAGATTCAGATTGGGAAGCGAAAATAGAGCGTCAAGGTATTGGGAGGAAGAAGAAAAGAAATTATGCAGATTATGTAAAAAGGAGCCAGAGACGCTTGAACATATTTTTGAGCGATGTGGGGAAACGGGAAGTTCTGCAAAAAGCTGGAAAGCTCAACTGGAAGGAGTGAACAACATGAAAAGGATGAGAGAAATCTTGTGGAAGAGAAAAATAGCAGGAGAAGAAAAATAATAAAAATTGTACTTTGTATATATTGTAGGAAATGGGAAAATTCAAATGGAAAGAAAGGATGGTCTAAATAAGATGAAAAAAATACGAATAAGGAGGAAAATAGCAGAAAAACGAGAAAGTAGAAAAGAGAAAATAAGTAAATGTAAATGTAATTGCACCTTGTGTATATAAAACATAATGTTTTTAATAAAGCTATCTATCTATCTATTATTTTTGTAAAACAAATGCAACAAAATCATGTTAGTACCATTTTAGGGTTCCGCACATCTGACTGAAAAAAACAGAACCCTAAAACTCCTAACGTAAATAAATTAATTTTGAATCTTGAAATACATAGTTTTAAAGTTATTTAACAAAATAGATGAAAGTTGACCATTTCCCCTCCCCATTATCTCCGAAACTACTGAACCTAAAATTTTGAAATAAAATCCAGAAAATAGTTCTTTATTTACATTAGAGGAAATTAATAAGAAGTCTATAGTCTGAATTTTTCAACAAAACAAACAAAATTAAACAATTCATGTCACACAGTGTGTCTACATTCGTTTCAAATACTGAAAAAAAAATGTGAAAGTTCTTATTAATGATGCAGAACCTATTAATAAGAGTTTCTAAAAACTTATTACTTATTACAAAAAATTTTGATGCACTTTACCAACAAGCGAAAACTGTTTATGTTGAGTGTGTCAGTGCACCATAACGGCGACCTTGCCGTATTGATTTGATTATTTTCAATGTCTGGCACGACTCTAAATATAACCAACTATTTAATCGTAAATTTAACGTGACGCATGTAAATCTCGTTCTATGAACACAAACGAACTGTAATCACACTACTCGATACTACATTGCTCATAAGTTTTTAACCAACTAAATATGGTTGTTTTACACAAGAAGAAAATAAACATTTAATTTAATATTTCACCCATATGTCTTGGCAAATTTCCTTTTTTATATAAAATATTGGAAAAACTATTGATGATCTCTGTAGGTACATTATCACAAAAATAACCCAAGCGTATATGCCCCTTTTTTGCAGAAATTACGCATATGATTGATCCATACAATTTTGTTACCTTTAGTTGTTTTTGAAGTGAAACTTCTTTACGCACGGCAGGGTAAGTTCGTTTCATGCGAGCTGGTATGTAACGAAATCATGCAACGTATTTCCCCTGCTGTCTGTCCCTATCAATGCTTAGATTTTTAAAACTACGCAACGGATTTTAATGCGATTTTTTTTAATAGATAGAGTAATTCAAGAGGAAGATTTGAATGTATAATACATGCATAATATAGTAGAGAAACACTGATAATTTTAAAGGTTTGTAATGTGATGTCGTAAATAAACAAAATTTTTTTGCGCTTACATTGCGAACGCTGGCTGAATCCTACGAGATAGATCAAAATAATATACTACAGTATTGTACACCTAAAAAAGGTCTACAAAAAAGTCCGCGATGGTATATGTCTATTTCTTAGGGATAACCCACAATAACCATTTTTTATCCTTTACTTTTTACGAGAAATAATGGCTTATATAGGAAGCAATTTTAAGCAATACAGCATTAATCCTTATCCAATTAAGTACATTTAAATACATTGTGCATTTAATATAGATCAATACAGCATGTGATTTAAATGAATATTTTCGAATATATTACAGACTTAAAATGCAGGGACTTTAGCGGTTGCGGCGGTACCTACCGGCCGGTTTGTATTGTCTAATGACAAAAAAGCTGTGATTGTTGTATATAAAGACATTCAATAGTAAATTTACTATCAGCATTGCACCCGTGCGAAGCATAGTGTACAAATAATACCATTAAACCAATTCCTTAGCCCTTATCCCGGTATGTTTGTGTGTTTGAAGAAGTTTCACTTCAGTAGCGTGTTGTATAATTACACGTTGTATTTTTTTTAATGAGTTAGAAGTGCTTTAAATTGAAAAAGTTAGTCACTGAATTGTTTTTTTAATAAATTTCTATATTATTATTGAATTTCTTCATTGCCACGTAAGTAGTCTGAGCGAACACGAACAACGACTTAT